GATCTCACTCATCCCGCAGACTGACTTGTCCGAGTTATCCCGCTCCGGGCTCAATCCCGCAGCCGCGAGCAAAGTTCCCATCTCCACGGGCAAGTTCCATTGCGCGACACTTAGAATGAAAAGCTCGCTCCAGCCCTCCTCCAATAAGATCGCCTGATCGCGGAATGGAAGATCAAAGAATGTCGGAATGTTGCGAACCCATTTCACGGTCATAAATAGAATCCGCACGGCGGACTCGTGCAGCATTTCCGGTGAGCTAAGATACATGATTGGATAGGGCACCTGTTGTCCATGCTGGGGCGTGTGCGGAGGTGTCATTGCAGTCGCCACGGAAACAGCCACTGGGACGTCTTTTGGGCTCTCGGCGTTTGAATATCCCATGAGGAAGGCGCTCTTATGTTCCATAGTATATCTGGGCGGGCTGTTCCTGAAGAATATAGGTTCCGGAGTAACAGGAGAGTCCAGAAGTTTTTCTTTCTTTGGAGTTACATGGATTTGGCCTGGTGGGAGATCCATATGCTCCTGCTCGTAGCTGTTATGTTTCCTCTTCAGAGGCTTGCATCGGATTTCTTCGTTTGACGCCTGTTTGAACTGATTTGTACGCGGAGCACGTTCGTGTTGCACGGCTGAAAACCAATCATAACATGAGCTTATAAAACTGGACAAACGTTAACGAACTGATTCATCATAATAAGATAGCATGCCGCCAAATATTTTAGTGGGCGATATACACGTAATCGAAGATAAAAACTTAAAATAAAAGCTTTATAGAAATTTATAGAAATTGTTTATTTGCGCCTTTTATTTACCCTGGCAAGACACATGCTAAAATTAAAGGTTGGGTTTCCTGTACTAGAGTGTTATGAAAGACAGTTGAGTTCAAAGATTGGTCAAAATCGAAGCACGCTCTTTACATAATCTCATTTTGGTTTCAATTGACTGTAAATTTTTTTTCTGTGCTCAACTTAATTAGTCTTCTGGCTATACTTAATCAAAACAAACTTTTTGATATAGTTTTAAGCTTTGCTAAGTATTCAGTCAAACGCTATTTTCCTGTCTTTACCACAAAGTTCTCTTTGTTCTAACATAACCCGATAATGCCGAGAGATCTTTTGAGTGTAATACAATTACATTACTAAGGGTGTAATTTCCTACCCCATCAACACGTGTCATGAATTTCCCAGATGCATAGACTTTTCGAGCTACATTTTATTGAAATGAAATCAAGGGCGCAAATTCTAGTTCAGAAGCTCATTGTTCTCTTCCAGTCTGGTGTTACAAGCCACAATGTCCGACAAGTCTTGAACTGATTTTATTGAATGAAAATGAACTAAGGAAGTAAATCACATCCCGATACTTTTAGTTATTCAGAATTACTTTTTTATGGAATTGAACCCTGAGATGATAGTTTGATGCTAGAGCCAATCATCGGCGATTTCAGAAGAAACCAAAGAGGAATCTGGACGTTTCCGAGGATCATGAAAATCGACACAATTTGCAATCAACGAACTTAAAAAACTTATACTTTTTTTTTTTTGGCACGCACGAACAGTGATGTATCATAGTAGAGTTACTGTACATGCCTTTTCAAAAAACTACCGACCTGAGAGCTATGCTGTACAATGATAGCCCAATTGAGGTGGACAAAAAACCTCTCAATTGGTTACCAATGACAGTAGAGTGTGTGACATCACAATAGTAAACCCGTTTAATGTACCTGAGCCCCAGGGGCTCTCAAATCACTCTTGATGTCAAAAGCAGTCTTCTTAACTTTCAGCTGCTGTTCATGGAGATCAGAATTTCTCTCACTCTGATTGGCTTATTAGTCACAAGGTGGGACACCTTCGTTTTGAAGACCTTATACTTAACAGACAACAAGGGCTTTGAAATGTTTGTTTTGTTTGGCCTAATTCATTTTTGAATTCCACAGGACAGCGTTGATCCTCGAAGACAGAAAAGCTCATAATGCGTTTTCAGCTTCATTCTTTTACAATGACTTAGCTGCGACATACTGACGAATATTAAAGAATTTGCGCGCTGAATTTTCGCTGAGATATGTTTAAAAGCAAGGCCAATTAATTGAAACGTGACTTGATTTCAGCAATAAATCAGAAAAAACCTCTTCAAAGAAACGGATGTTGACAAACCGCGGTAAAACAATGCGCGTCGGGGGAACAAATCATGCATGCATTGGTACGCAAGTTTATACCTGATTAACTTTTTTCCATTATTTCAGTTCCGTTGGAATGATAAAGAAACGGGATAGGCTAGCTTCCAAATGGAAAAAATCCAATACTTTTGGAATCTATTCGACACTTTCCAGCGCCCTACAGGACTATTTCTTTTTACTTTTGAAAAGTTTCTTGCACGGGAGAGAGAAGGAAAAATTTCTCGCAATTAGAAATATTCTGTAGTCGTTCTCTCTTAGAATACAAAGCGCTTGAATCAGAGCGGAAGCTTTTCAGTGGTGAAAATTCAGCAGAGCTCGAATTCTTTGACCTCAAGTATTTGCCGCGAAAATGATCAGTGGTGGAAGACAAAAGCTCGGGTACTGTCTTTTAGCTCCAAAAAAGCATCTATTAAGTAGTTTTTTATTTTGCATTGGGTTTGTTTTCTGTTTCGGTCTTTAAACACTGGAATGAATTATTAATCACCACGGTTCCCTACAACGCTAATTTTGCATAATACAGCACTGTGGTGAGGTTTCTAAAGAAAGACTTTCATAGTTCGAAATCAATTGGGCGTATAAATTGTTCTTTGTGCTAAAACGATCAAAGAACTTTAGAAGTTTCGCGACTCAGAAGAGACGAATTGAAATACCTCCACTCAGTTCGGATTGGGCTGAGTACACGCAATAAATAATAGATTACTCTGCGGCGATGGGCAAAGAAATCTTTTCAGTCGAATCGGAAGTTCGGAAGCGCACAGAAAATTTGTCGCAAATAAAAGGAGGGTCCATTCGTTGAAAGAAAACATGTAAACAATAATTAATGGGGTTTTTTTAGATAATTGCATTAGCTACCCTGAGTTGAGGTATAAATTGGGAAGGTTATCTTGAAACGCCGTTGTGAGGTCAGGTATTGTTAGGGCAAATTGTCAAAATAAACAAAGTCGTTTCGCAACGGCTTTTATTTAAGCTATCGCGTTATGAATATGGCTGCCCTTACTGCGCTTAACTCGTACTAAAATTACCGTTTTTATGCAGAACCTACAACAAATTGATACAAACTGATAGACCCCGCTGATCATTCAGAATTCATTAAAAAACATTTTGATCTGCACGGCAAGTTTTCGAAGCTGGATGAAATAATTGAGTAAACAAGGCAGCGATCATTAAAGGCGCATCAACAGATCCTCAGATAGAATTTAAAGTATTCATTGATCCGTGTAGAAACTTAAAAGATCTCTGCAGTATTGTACAATAGTGCGAATTTGTTGTGACGAACGCATTTTTGGGTGAGCCCAAATCTTTTATTTTAGGACAGGTGGTCTCAGCAGGTATGCTCAGTCCTCAATACAAAACATTGAGAGGAAACGAACGAGGCTCTTTTAGCAGCGAAAAGACAAAAAAATTCCATTAAAAGAGTATTGGATGCTGATTGAAAACAAAGAGCGATAAACATTTCAGTTTGCCCTATTGTCCTTCACTTTGAAAAGCCTTTGTTATGAAATTCGTGTCCTCTTCCTGTAACCCGACTAATAACCCCTGCTTACATTTGCAAGATAAAACGTTTTTTTTTTAATTTTCACTGGATTGGAAAGAAAAGATAAGTTGGCTTACCGTCCCTGTTCATGCGAACTTCAAAGCACTTTTTTAGCCGACAGGCTTGGCATTGGTTTCGTCTGGCCACATCTATAGGGCAGGAATTATTCTCTTTGCACTGATACGCAAGATCCCGGCGAATGCTTCGCTTGAAGAATCCGCGACATCCATCGCATGTTAATACTCCATAATGCTTTCCAGAAGCTCTGTCTCCGCACACTTTACACAGAACTGTTTGCTTGGCTTCTGAAATAGAGTTGTCAAGTAGTTGGTAATTTGACACTGAGTAATGTGACTTTTCGACTTTCGGCTATTCGGTAGATTAGCTTTGTTTGCGGCACGCGTACACACGAGTAAGCAACCCTCAATTAAACGGCCTCTCTTTTGATCGCGTTTTGCGATTATTAGCTTTGCTCAGGGGGCAATTTTCCCCAAAGATGAGGCGTTTTTCCAACGCTTTTACTTAAATAAACATCCTATCTTAATGCAATTTGTTTGATTAGGCGTAGCCTCTATTGCAGCTGTCTGTATAGAAATCTGGGGTACGTTATTACATCCAATAAATTTGAGCGTTGTTATTGAGCTAAAGTCTCTGAATTGCAATGCAAAGCGTTTTCGTTGTGCTATACTTTTTCTTTGTATATGACCTGGAATAAAATCGTATTCAATACGATTTTATGATCCACAGGAAATGATATTTAAGGTAATTTCCAGTATTTTATCGTACCTGATTTTCCTCTCCTCGCTGCAAGAACGTCTGCGTCAGCCATATTTCTGCAATTCTACAAAAAGAGGTATTCTGGTAAAATATTTTCTTATGGAGAGACACCTCGAGTATTTCGATTTCTGTTCCCCGGGAGTTTCTGAGCTGACGATGTCTTGCATGAAAATTTAGAGGCATATTTGTACTTGCTGGTCCTGAACAGGTGCATAAAGTAGGTATTCTCTGATTGGTTAGTGGTCAAGGAGCTTGGCTCTGATTGGTGGAAAACTGATCTCGGATTTGCATGGGTAACCACCTAATTAAATTAGATTCTCTTAAATGGTTTATGCGATCGTTTGCTACTAAGCGAGCATTCTCTCAGCAACTGATGAATGGGAGGTCTAAGCATGTGTGTATTCGTAACGGTGTTTAAACAGGAACAATAGATTTAACCTTGCTCCGCGATCCACCGGAATTAAGACGGTTCAAAGACTACATACCACAGCTCTTTGAATGAGAAGCGATCTAATTCAAGTTCGGTTGCCATAGCATTTCTCGTGCAATCGCTAAAAATGACAATCACGTTTTAATTGCGAGAAATGTGTAACAATGCGTTTGTATCTCGAGTCACCGCTTTTGTTTTTTTCTGTTCGTGAGTATATTCTGTCAGTTTTAAGTTATCTGTCTGTCTGTCTGTCTAATCACCCTCTGGCACAGTTCAAATTCGCTTGGCGTCCATACAGACCGAAGCACGTGGATTTGGTAGCTTTCACTAAGTAAACACATCTTACAAGTAAGGGTTTTGTCTTGTTTAATCTTAATAGGCCAGCCTTCTTATTTGGTCTGTTAATTTAGGGTTATTAGAAGCTAGGATGACATTTTTGTTTGCGCGTCTCTGCTTTACCTCGTGGCAAGATAACCAACTCGCACGGAAAGAAATCCATGCTCAAAAGCCTTTAACCCTCATCTTAGCTTGTGACTTGGAGGTTAACAGTTCATAGCAGGAATTTTTGTGTTTGAATTTGCCTTTCATTTTCGTCTCTACTACTTTGGCGTTCTGATACAAAGTAATACAAAACTCACCGCAACTGAGCGTTTAAATCTCAGGGGAAAAAAACAGACATGTTTTGTGATGGAAATCTGCAAAGTAACTCCTGCTTGGTTTGCAGGGTTATGCATATCAATAATCAATCATTCAGTGTGGTTGGATGCTTAAGGTTGGCTTTTATTGGCGATTACATAAAATTGCACTTGTTGAATCAATGCAAAAACCAGTCGTTAAGTAAATTGCTCTAAAATTTGGTTAGATAAAGTTTACTTTAGAGTCATTAGATAACTTGAAAGGAAATCAAACAATGAGGTACCTGTAAGAACGAGGTTTTTACGGCCGAGCCGTGAAGCAGACGTGACATCTGTGTCTCCTAGGATTCCGCCCATCTAATCAAGTTTACCTCAAACAATTAGCAAAATAAAAATGCTATAATTTTTAAAAACAACTACGCCTTCGAATGTGAAAGGTTTGCAATTAGCGAATGAAAAATGCCATTTGATTGCATCTACTTCAAGATTTGAGGCTTTTTTTGAATTGATGTTAGGATTAATCATATGCTTCTCGATAGCAAGGTGTTTGTTGAACAATTGTCCCCTGGGTGGAAAATACCGCTTGATTTCTCACCACGCGAAAGGAAGATCATTTTAGACTCACCAATATCAACTCTTTGTCATATTGATCATCGGACATTCCTTCAAGTTTACTTTTTGAAATTTGCTCTTCACAAATTGACAGTATCGATTTTTCTTCTTCCTTCGTAAAGAAAAACTGAATGCCATCAGAGATATCTTCTTTAAAAGCAAGAAGTAAATCATACGGTGTCCAGATCGTGTGAAAGAAATTTCTCCCACGAGCCAACTCGAATTTTATTTTCGAGTTGTAATGGATATTAAAAACTTTTGTCGTTTGTTCTTGCCGATAAATTTCGTTGCATGCCTAGGGGTTTACTTAAGCTTTCAATTCCTACTCTTTACCAAACCATGAGGCCTACCGAAGTGTCAAAATGTTTGCCAACAATTGTCTCTTACCTAGTAATGAAAACCAGTATTACCATCTCAATTCAAAGCTAAGCAGAAGTCAAGAACTTTTTAATTAATGAAATATTTTCAAGTCCATGCCGGAAATAGATCTGTACATGCAAAATAAAACTTTATAAGTCTACGAGGTGCACTGTATTTTTTCCAGTTTAGACCCGCTTGCGAGTGAATTCCTCAATCCATGTCGATGACAAATTTATGTCAAAATCAAATTTATATAGAAAGTATTGTTGAGCTTCTTCGCAGTTGTGAAAGCAACAGAAAAACGCCTCTTCAACGTTTAACCTTTTTCATTTTAAATCTACTTTGAACGCCAAAAAATAAAGGACACTATTCTAAGGCAGACGGTCGTTAAACTCTCTCCCAATTCACGTCTTGCGCGTAAAAGATCTAATTTCAGATAAAATTAGTCGCAAACGAATAAACAAAAAGCTAAGCTATCATTAAAGTCAACAATTTTGTCATTAAACCATCAACTCGTTCTCTATGAGGTAGGATAAATATGGTTTGGAATTAAAACTGGCAAGGATTATTTAAAATGAGCCTATAAGGTAAATAAGGGGCACTGAGAAATTACAGCACATCCAACGTTTACAGAGCAGCTCTTTGTTCACATATATCAACAACCTTTCCATTACTTCTCGGCCGCCAGCTACGTCTAGCATTTGATTTCCTATCTCCAGACAGTTACGTCCAGTGATTGGCCATCCATTAGTCAATTCACTGGATTAAAAGCCAGTAATTTACCACTTGTACACGAGGTAAACCGTGTAGATTATTCTCTGCACGTGGGTAAATTTTCTCAGAGGAACCTTGTATTGCGGGTCACACTTTGTTATTCAGTCAAAATAGTAAAATACCAAACAAACAAAAGCCTACAAAAAGGACTCACGAGGAGGCCTCAAAACAAAGAGATTGCTAAAAAAAGTTTGTAAAACTTAAAGTTCACGCAATGCAACTTTATTTCAAAATTTGGGTTAGCCTTTAAAAGTTACCAACTAAAGAGGAAACAAATTGCAACGAAAATAAACATGTCCAGTGTGTAAACAGAGACAAAAAGCCAGAGGAAAAAGAGTAGTTTCGATTTCTTGACATCAACATCTTTGGCGTCTAGACTGAGCATGTGAAGAGTCAGAGGTCCGTGTCTCCTGGGTTACTGGTTTTAAAAAGCTGTTTTTTGTCTGCGGTTTTATGAATCCATTCGAAACTAAAGCCAAACAATTTAAGGAAACAAAGCAAAATTGGACCAGTACTCGGGTACTTTCGAGAAACAGGCCTTAAGTAAGCCTTGAGTTCTAAACAAGAAAAGCATGTGTTGTGTAACAGCCGAGTCTTTTGAACTTTAAACCCCACACTCGATTTGATAAACATTATTCATCCTTGACTTTTCAGACTTTGCGCCCTACAACAAATTCAGTTCTTGGTGTTAAAGTTTTACAGAGTTGAATAACTCGACCTTTGGGCATTGTCTCTAAAACATCGATCTTTTCAATGTCAAATCAGATCGGGGCATTTTTTTTTTATAATTGAAGGGAATGATGACTCTCTTGTGATTTACTGCCAAATAAAACGCATTTGGTGGTCGTAACATGGACTGAAATTCTTCCATACTTCTATTGGCTGCATCTCGTTCAATATTGTATTTAGTCTGTTTAGTAAAGCATGCGTCGATACTCTTTAAGCCACAACAGCTAATAGAAACTATGAAAGGAGAATATGATTAGTTGATTGTTAGGACTAAGTATACGTATATTCTGACAGCTGAGTTTGTCGTAAAGGAAAAGCGCATGGTTGTGGCTTCAATGCAAGATTTGAATGTTATTCAATTACGCCAGAAATGATTAAATCGATGATAGTTATCTGCAGTGATTCTATCGATCTGGAAATTCACCCTGAATAATTTCTAATCAAAGGTAAAAAGGCCGGTGTTATTTAGCTAAGCCAAGGAGACATCTATGATGAATTCCACAAGTATTACATAAGTGACTATGCCGCTCTTTGATTTACAAAAGACGTCGATGATCACTTTACCTGTTACAGAGAAATCAGAGAAGTAAATTGGAATTTAGACAATAAGCTGTTTTCGATTTTGCTCGAACTCTACCGTATGCGCGAGGAAAAATACAAAAAATGTCAGCAAGATCCCTTGTCTGGCCGGTAATCTCCACCAGCGAATTAGCCTTGCATGCAGACATTTTTTTTTATATTATTGCACTGTACTATTTTATTATTGCACAATACAATGAAAATTAATGAAGGGGGGGGAGGGGAGGGGAGGGGAGGTTGGGGGAAGGGCAAAACGAAGAATAAGTTTTTAAAGAAATATCCAGTTTGTTTGCACAGTAAGTTGGCCTAAAAAAAAAACTAAAATGATGGGTATTCTGCCATAAAAATAGATTTCATGGGAAAAACAAGTTATGAAATACTTAAACGTGAAAAAATTTGTGTGTGGTCTTACACTGAATCGCAGTGCAAATCATACTGCGGTTTGAGTCCGTAGCTCGGTCAATCTTGTAGGTGGTAGCATACTTTGTGTATGTAGCCTAATGTACAACTTGGAAACTAGATTTCTGTCAAAAATACGAAGACGCTGAAAGTGGATGCATTTCGTTATCTATGGACAAGAGTAATGCTTTGAGAGTTCTCGTAATAACATGAGCCGCAGGCGAAAATGAAAATGACCGCGTGGTGTGTGGCTAAGTGCAGGAGACGCATTAACTCGAGTGCATCACGCGACTGACCGACTCGTGTGATGTTTTGAGGGCTTTTGTTACTGCTCATTATGAGTGACCACACAGAGAGTAATAATACACTAGCAGTTAATGAAAAATAATTATTTCCTCAGGCTGAAAACCAAAGAAAAAAACATGAAGATGGACAAAAGATTGAAACAGGCAATTTGAAAAAACCTAATTTGAAAAGTATTAATTAGCAATTATGTATCTCCTTTTATTTTGTTTCAGCAGCTGAGCCGTACACTATCATTGTCCGCTTTGGCTACGCTCCCTAAAACTCAAATTATGTTTACACAAACTATGGCAACTGATGGTCAGTCTAGACTTATTCTTTTAGGGATTAGATTTACACGAAATGCAAATGCAGATTGTCTAACTCAACACAAGTTTTAATCAAGCTGTTTTGGTTTTCTCTTAGAAAGAACCTCGAAGCCTTCTTAGTTCAGCACACTGTGTTGCATGAAAATTTAGCGGACTAGCGTTTTTTGTTCTAACCTCAGAACATAGATCACAGGGAAAAGAGAACGTGAAATTTCAACATTTAGTACGTGTTGAGTTACAACAACAACCGCTCATGAAAAAATTGCACTGAAAGTAAAACCTAGTCGTTTAGAAGCTAATCTGCCTCGGTTTCTGAGACATACGGTTTTTTTTTGGCCGTATAACGCTATTTTCACAGATCTAAAATTTTCTGAAATTTCAAGAGAAAACTTTGTGATCCAGAGTCATGGTGAAATTTATAAGTAACAGCACACTGAGTTCAATTTAGCCGGGTTTCGTGGATCTATAGAACAATTTTTTTAACCCAAAAGAAATGACATCACAACAAAAGGGGAGTCTTGTGTTGCGAATCGGGAACTAGGGAAAACTAAGTCCACAAAATCCAAGAGCCGATTTTTAAAGCTTTTAAGCCACAAATTTAAATACACTTGCGGAAAATTAAATATTTCTTCATTTTTTTCATTGTAAT